ATTTATCTAATAAATAAAAATTGTGTTCGTATTTTAGGCGCTTCCATACCGTTCATCAGAATTCGATAAAACTTTGTCAAGTTATTACTTGCATTTGCGCGAAGGTTATAGGCATTAACTTATAATAAATTGTTTATGCCTATAACCTTCAAATTAAAAAGGGCAATACAATTAACTTACAGTAGGTTGCGCGCGTTTCGTATCAACATTTTTTTTAAATTTCGAATTATCCCAATAAAACGTGTAGCTTTTAGTGTAGTAAATAAACTTATATTTCGTATAACAATCTTAAGTGCGCTCCGCGTCGCGTCACGTCTCGATGTGTACTGACCCTTAAGCGACTGCAATGCAATAATTTGAAAACAATTATAATGATATAGCGCATTATATTTCCTTTATTCATAATTGCAACATGTGAAGAAATCACACTAAATGAATGAAATAATAAATAGCATATTATATTATAATGATATCATACATTTATGATAATACCATAGGTATGTCGAATTTATTGCGCGTAATTTTAAATTATTCATAATTCGCGACGTGTCGAGTGTTTTGCAGTACCCATGTTAATGATTAAGGAATATGCTACTCTCCAATGATTGACGTAAGCTCGTTCTGCGTAGATCGTATCAAAAAACGTTGCCTGTGTCAACTATGATATCAAAACGTTAAGCCTCCGAACTCAGTGAACATAAGCGCTACGGAGAACTCGAAACGTTAAACGGGATTGAAAATAAATCAATATAAACCTTAATTAAAACTCAGAAAATAAATATTTTGTATGAATATCTTAATATCTTAAAAATAATAGCTTATACAATAAAAACTTTGATACGATATCAACATAAAGCAACGTGTAATTACATTGAAAATAACATAACATAATAACATAAACACTCACGCCTGTCACCCAGAGGGTTGGGCAGAGACTACAGACTTCTATTTAGCACGATCCTGACATACCTCTTTCGCCTCTTCAACATCCATATACCTATGCATACACGCTCGTCTGTTAAGGGTACTCTTAATTTGGCCCATTTTTAATATATCGCCAATTTGGTTGACAAACTTTCGCCTAGGACGTCCCTTTCCGTCTCTTCCATTCACTTCTGCAACATATATTTGCTTTGTCAGTCTTTCCTCATTCATTCATTCTACATGACCAAACCTTTTTAATATTATTCACTTTGCCGTGTGGCGGCAGCGCGACGCCGGCGTAAGAGAATGAATGCATTTCGTCCCGTAGATGTCGTGAGAGACGACTCTTGAAAACGCCAGATTTCTTTATGGTTTCTGATAAATGTACGGTACAAGGTCGCAGTACCAGACGCTAAATACCCAAAAAAAGTGCCAGACGTCTGGTTCAGTAATCGTTATTCCGCCTGCCAAGCGTGACTGAGTAATTGAGGAAAATCCTTCCTGTACCGGGAGGGGGAGGGGCCTGACTTCAGCATTGAACTTTTACGTGCTGATGAATAAGAAGAATCAATAATTAAATTAGATCGCGCGTAGTTTTTAGTAGGTACCCCTTGTAAAAAGCTTAAAATAATGCTATTAAATATAAATACATGTTATCTCTTTAAACATACATTGATATAAAAAGTAAAATAGTATATTCTAATAATAAAATGCCTGAGGATGCTTCGCGTAGAGGCGAAACACATGTATTATCGACGGTGGTGTCTTTCTTAGAGTAGTGGTGTTGGAAGCAGTGGTACACGCAATTGAGGGAGGGAGGGCGGAGGGTGCTCTTCAAACTAGGTAAAACTTATCATTTTATTTTATTACGTGGATATAAGCAAATTAATTTTTAAGATCAAGAATTTTTAATAAAAATAAAAAAACTACTTCTCAGGATATGTGAACTCCATCAATAAGCTCTTACGGTGCTCTAAACTTTTCGCCACATTACAGCAACTGTATAATTCCGCTGGGAATCGTTGCCGGTAGAAATGACTCCGCAACTGCGTTGTACACTTAAATGAGATATAAATATAATAAACCGGACACTAGCAGGTAGGACTCGAGCCCTAGGGTTCCGTGTAAACTTCATCCACACCGGGAATTATAGATGTGGTAAGCACCGAACATATTCATAACATTTTACCGTGCAGTTACGTAGTACTATTATTTATTCCGTGATATGGTTGCGGCGTAAGACAATATACTACTTCATAACATCTCGTAAGTGTCTTAAGAGGCGACAGAAGCTTACAAATCAGGATATGGGCAGCAGAATCTTCCTAATAACGATTAAAAATAAAATAACTGATAGCGGTTACCCCCTAAGAGGCAATATGTGGGCTAGGCTAGGTATTCAGCACTAGACTTTAATAGGCTGTAACGATTTCTTAAATTTACGCGAACACTACACATTGAATAAAACAAAATTTACGGATTTTATCGCGTTTATTTCACTACTTTTACTTATTTTTAATTCCCGACGTTACATAGGTCAAACAAAAAGATCCATAAAAACCCGCGTGAAAGAACATATAGCTGACGTGAAGCACCGACGCTCCGGGAAGTCTGCAGTCTGCGAACATGTTCAAGATCGTCCCCACCATTACATTCGTTTTGATAAACCACAAATTCTCGCAAAAGAACACCGATTCCTACCAAGGATACGCGAGGCTATTGAAATTAAAAAACATCCAAATTTCAATAGAGAAGATGGATGGGTGCTGCCACCTGCTTGGGATCCTATAATTAACAAAATTAAACCCAAACCTAAGCATACCACTGCAAGACTTCATGATACTATAAGCTCGTTTTGCGTAAATCGGACCAAAAATTAATATTCAAAAACTGAAGGTAGCCGGACTAACTATGACATTGGGACGTCAAACATCTCAATCCCCCCCGTGACCATGGTTGCTGTAAAGCACCCGAAACGTCGGGAATTAAAAATAAGTAAAAGTAGTGAAATAAACGCGATAAAATCCGTAAATTTTGTTTTATTCAATAAGGCTGTAACTGTAAGCACCGAACATTGCTCAAACTATTGTCGGATTAAAAGACAAACTTAACTCTGCGGGAAAAAGCTGTTCTCACATACATCGGTCTACATCACGGTCGATGTTTCAACAAGGTTTTATAGCATATCGCAAATGTAAGTTTGTAGTACAACACAATCACAAACTCACCTTGAAATGACATCGGCTTACATTGAATATTAAAAAAATAACAACACAACGAAACCAAACTGCAAACGTCACAAGTAAAAACGAATCCAAACATGATTTCTAGTTTCTACCAGATTTACACAATAGCACTGAGAGTTCAGTGACGTGTCGTTTATTGTTTAAAGGCTGTTGCTTTACTTTGTCTCTACACGTTAGGCTACTACCGCCGCTTTAGACGTTATTATATTTATCGAAATTTTTGAGCAATATATAAAATTAAGTTTCGTCTCTAGACGACTACTAAAGTAAATCAATTCTGAAGTTATTTCTTTCATGAAATTACTTTTCATATAAACGTTATTTGGAATTTTCCCGATAATATGGAACAGAACAATAAACGAATTATATCCACACTAAAAATAGACTTTAATATCTTTCCTTCCAATTGGATTTGTATAGTTTATGAAACGTTTATTTAAGTATTAAAGTAGAGAAGTATTGAAATAAATAGAACTTATATAGTTTATAACGAATGTCATTCTAGTTCTATTTCGACCTTAGTAGTATCTCAAGCTCATTAATCAGAATTTGCGATGTCGATTAATGATTGATTTCGACTGCAGTGACAAATTTTAACTGCTATCGGAAGTCAACTGCGCTGGACATGTCATAGATCATAGTGCCGCAAATATGGGGGTTAAGAAAAATAGTGTGACACATTCGTTTCACGTGCAGCAGGCACTCGGGCATATAATATATTAATAACAATATCGTCATCATTATCATTCTTCAGCCTTTTTAAGTCTCAAGACACAGTCATCTCCAAGAATGCGCCAAGTTGAATGTATTACTTTGCGCATATTAATTATTAACCACACTGCCAAGACGATGCGACCGGATTGTAACTACAATCACATAGCCGACACTTCCGAATTTCGATAAAATTCGGTTTCTAAATATATTTTTTATAAATTTATCGGAATGCAGTAACCACTAAGATGCATTTTGAAAAGTTTTGCTTCGCAAATACAAAGACAAACACTGGCTGATAATAGGTTAAAATTTGAACATTCTGATTTAATCGCAAGAGACAAATGTCATGAATTAACCATACTTTCTATTAAAAAGTGTTTCGTAGTTGTCAATTTAGAATTAAAAAAAAAATTACCTTTGTCTTTACTGACGACATTTTGCTGCTAATTCCTTTCACGAGTACCTACATCCTACACTAATTACAATCAGCGAATGGTAGGTACCTACCTATGCAACATTGGATTTACCACTAATAACAAACAAGTGAATACGATAACAATGCTAATAAAACTTGGTCGTCGATTCGAGTAGGTTCTACCTACGCAGCTACGCAGTTCGCGTTACCAAGCATGCTAATCTGTTTAGAGGTCAATCAACAAGTCAACACCGAAGATTTCGGGTAACAGGAAGTGCTTCACTTTTTCTACTATTAAATTATCAAGTAAGCTAACGTAACCTTATAAGTAATATGTATTCTAATAACAGAGTTCACAAAAACGAAAAGGTTATATATTATTTAAAACGTTTTTTTTTAAACAGGTTTACTGATTTATCGGAAATGGCTTAACAGATTTTAATTTATTTAATAAATTTATTTAACAGTTTATGTACATACATACCTACTTCGATAGGAAAATGGTGAAAAGAAAATTATGTACAAAGGCTCTGCTTATTCCATAATGAAATTTCTTCCAGCAGGCCTATTGAAGGATAGTTGAAGGAAATAGAGGTAATCAAAGTGTGCACCTTAATGATTTTTTTTACTAAATAGGTTATGTAGCTTCAGGGGTGGCTTCATATAAATATTAGGAAAAAATTTCATCCCTATGTACTCACTCTGACAGGTGCCGGGAAGAGCGACGAGGCATCCGGTTCGGCGGCGTGCGCGTGCGACATTTGGTGCGCGCGAGCCTGCCGCTCGCGTTCCCGGTCGCGTTCGCGCTCGCGCTCGCGCTCGCGACCCGCCCACGCGCCGCCCGCACCTCCGCCCGCGCCGCCGCCGCCGCCGCCGCCGCCGCCCACGCCGCCTCCCCCACCGCCGCCCCCGCCCCGGTCCCACTTGTCGTACCTGTCGTAAGATAAAAATACATTTAAAGAACACTGAAAAAGGAATAAAGAAAAAGATTAAAGTTTGAAGAAATATTTAAAATTTGAAGGTAACCCTCGTTGACTATGACATCAGGAAGTAAAACACCTGTTTACCCCATAACTATGGGTGCTGCGAAATGTCCGAAACGTCGGGAATGAAAAAGTTAAAGTTAAATGGTATAAAATCCGTAAAATTAGTTTAATAAATAAAAAATCCCAACAAGAAGTCTGTCAGTGAAATCAAATTAAATATTAAGATTTTATTTTCGTTTATTATTAATTGCATCAACCATCATAATATGTTTATGTACTAATTCAGACTAGACTGATTCAATTTCCAATGAATAACACTGCAGGAAAACCTAGGACATTCATTTAGTTAGCCGTAAATTGTTGTTCGAACCATATTTTACTTGTTGCGAGCGACGTAAGACAACACGTTAATTAACTAGTGCACGAACTGAATGCAATGGTAACAGAATAATTTAGAACATATTTCGTGTCCTGTACAATATAAAGTGTCGTTGCAAGAAGATAAAATGTCGAACATTTATAAAAACAAAAAATTAAATGCATTATCTTATTCATAATGCAAAATTATATTTACCTACATATGTATTATGATTAATAGCAAACTTAACGATATCGATGCAAACTAAGGAAATGTACTATAACATAAAAACTTTCGTGAAATTAAACAATTCACATAATTTCATACTTCTTATGCACAATAGCGCAGGGATCATAAAATTCCGCCGTCCCTCTTAACGTGTCGTAAAATGGGACTAACGGTTTGTTGAGAATATTTATATATCATTTTTAAAACTGTTTTCCTCCCCTCTGGAAAGACGCCAACAAAGTGTATAATTTTTGTATTAAGAGGGCAAATATGTCACATTCAATTCTATATCTTAATGAGACTTTAAAATTTTGATTTCGTAAATATTTTCTAAATAAAATTTGAAATAACTAATTTGAATGGGTTCCTGGTGGAAAATTATAATGTCCTTACATTATAATTTTCTAAAGAAAAGGTATGCTACCTTTCCTTTAAAAACTTTAAAATTCACAAGTTTAAAAACTTGCCATTTTTGTGTACAAAAGTGGATAAAATAGTAGGCATAGTTCTAGAGTTAAAAAAAATAATTACAAATAACACCTCCAACAAAGTCGAGCATTTCTGCGGATTTTCATAATTATAATCTTAATATTAATATTCCACGGTACGCGAGTATAAACCTAGTTCAATACTCATCAGCATGAACGAAATGGTTTTAATAGCAATTTTGTGTCGGTTTACCACATATTTGCAACTTTTCGGCCGCGTTCATAATTCATTTTAATTCAGTAAAAATCCGTCAACTTTAATTTAGGGTATCTCTAGATAGATGGCGCTGTAGTAGAATTTAATTACAAAAAAATTCAACAGAAAACGGTCAAAATCGTGAAATCTATCAATTTGGATAGTTGGACATGTTATATTTCAAAATATAGCAACAAAAATGATGGTGCTAAAATATATTTATTTAAAGGTTATATAATTTCACATTCTTAGTGATTTGATTTTGTCGAATAAATACATTAAAGCAAATAAAACTCAGACAACGGCGATTGATAACGCGAAGTATTTATAACGCGATAACTTCGTCGAAACGGCTGTGGCGCGATATCTAGGTACTGTCACGCAACGATTGAACAATAGCGTCCTATACCTATAAATTCCTAAACAAAACGCAAGTGTGATTGATCACAGTCAACAGCATACATCGACATATTAATGAAATACCAATCGCAACGCTTAAAGCAATTTTTGTAATGTATTAACAAGAATGTTTGTGAGCACGTATTCGTTTTGACTACGCCGCGTGTACCGAGTATTACTCGCTTAGTGTCCTTGGCGTACACATTAGTTAACAAGTTTTCACTTTGATTTATCATCCCACCAATGAAACATTATTTGTACTTACCTGTGAACTCGCAACTTACGTAGAATAAGAAGATATTAGCAGTGACTACGTCAAGAGTGTACACGATCATCGTCAATAATATACATAAGTGGAAAATGTAGTAGTTGCGTCACAAAATAACTTAATTGCCATTGTAGCATACAAATGCGAGTACGAAATAAGAGCTAGGCTCGTACATTTAATACAAAATAAGGCTACGAACGCGTTGGATATACAGCACAATCACAGTTAACACTAGCCCGTAGTACAGAAGACACTGACGTTAAACAACTGGAAGCAAATGAGAATACATATTCAATGTACAAAATTGATGTGTTCAAATAAAACTTTCCAAATGCCGTTTATGATGTATGATTTATGACTAGCCTTAACACTTTTTACAAGGGGTTATAATTTGACTTCATATAATAAGAGATTCTAACACATATTTAAAAATGTTTCAGGCCTTGTAAATTTTCAATAATTCAATTTTTAATTAACAACGCAAAATAATTAATTTGAATTAAATTGGAAATATTTTTATTAATTATTATGGGGTAAGTTTTGAAAGTCTGTTCTATTACATTTTTTCTAACGTTAAAAGTTTTATCATTTAAACTTGCCTATAATTCCTATCTTATTCAAAATATAGTTATAAATATTTACTATATTTAAAACGTCTTCACGACCGGTTGATAGCGGAAAATCCACCAAAAATACCAAACTTAAATCCCACAGGCTGGGAAGTAACATTAATAATGCGAAACTATCCTCTCTGCGCTCACTAATCCTAGACAGGGAGCTTTTTTTTAGAGGATAGGGTGACAAACGAGCACACAGTCCACCTGACGGTAAGTGGTTGCTGTGACCCATAGACATATCTACATCTATCGACGATTACGAATCAAAATGCAGATGCGTTGTCACCCTCAGAGCTCAGCTCCCCCCTTTATTCTAATTCTTCTAGGAAATGCTAGTTATCACATTACATTCTTTCCTTTTACATAAAGAATCAGATTTACGCTACTTTTTTAATTTAGCTGACCTCGCTTATAGAGATTCATTGAAATAAAATGTCATGTATTATTGAACGAATCGAGATTCAAATGTCACCAATTTTCAGTACTTGGGAAATCCAAAAAACTTAGTAATTAGGCCTGCCCACCATTAATACAAATACAAAAGTGAATGTGAATCTCGAAAAAATTAATATAGAAGTGACAAATAATAACGTTAAAATTTACGAGCAGCGGGTGCAATTATGGAAACTAGCGATACCACTTTCACCGTTCGACCGTTCGTTCGTCATATGGCAACTGAGATTTATCGTCGTAATTACTCACCGAGCGTCGATTCAGCTCGAGGCGTCAATGAATATATTTAGGAGCGTGACCGTACCTACATTGACGTTTATTACAATTGTAATGAATCAGGACCGATGTGTATTTGAATAGCTCATTACTATGAGTTCATCTGGATAATCTATTACTTTATACATTTAATTAAGATTTTGTTGAAATACACAAGTAATTAAATTTTATTTCTTTATAAATACATATTATGTTTCAAAAATTCGGTTCGGAATCGCAACTTATAAATTATTTTTTATGAAATGATTTACATCTTCTCCATTATCAGCTCTGAGCCATCTGCATCCATCGAATTTATGCATGCCTTACCATGATGAAAATACAATCAAATAAAACTAAAAGACGCAGCGCATGTGGAGCTGATTTCAAACTGAGTATTTCAATACCTATACCTGTCGTAATGTATCTCACCAGGTAGCTATGTTACGACCAGGTAAGTTAAATAACCACCTCAAATCTTCGCTAAAACTTTAAGCGATCTTTCTGCAAGTATATATCAGTTAAAAAAGCTAAACTCAGGCGACGATTTCATAATCATTTACATTTAGTGACAGGTTAAAATAGTTTGCATTAAATGTTACTAAAGCTGTAAGATGTAAGATTGTTAGCAATCATAAATTGTTAGAATCAGTAACTAAAATTCCAAATCGCGTGTGTTTATCGCAATACAAAGTTATTAGAATAACTAGTATCTGATAACACAAATGCTAAAATCAGATTTATTGATTCAATAACACATCTAAATTTAAAACGAAATTATAAAATCCTGCAGAAATAAAGTTTAGTCTTTGTCTTTGTGTAGTGATAGTGTAATAGAATCCACTATCTAATTTATTTACCATTGTTTAGGTTCGTAAGAAGCGACAGGTGAAACAGATGGGCAGCATCAAGTTCTTGATAATCACTCAAAACAACAAAAAACGGCGGTTGTCAACCCGCCTGCCGATCGCAGCAACTATGGAAAATATCTGCTCTATGAGGCAATCTATGGGGTAGGCCTAAGTTTAGCAGTAATGATCATGATGAGGGTTAGAACCGTCCTGGTTACAGATATGTTCTAGTTAAAGGACCGAGTCATAGCTTTTTTATCATTGTTACATTGCAATCAAATTATAAATAGAAAATAAATAGTTTACCAGCTTTGAAGTCGATCGATATATCGCTAAGATCCCAACTAGCATGACCTGATAATTATTAAAAGGTCTAACAGATTTTGACCAATTATACCTAAGAATAAGAACCATGTCCATTGAGTCAGCCTTCAAATCATTCAAAAAATGGTAGACCTACAATGCTACATATAGATAAAACAGAATACTTTAATACATATATAACAGAACGGGGGGAGTGGGCGGAGCCCGTGTAGTCACTAATATGACATTAACATATCAATTCACACGTATAAACGTCAACACAACTCTTTTGACGTTACCAATAAAAAAATATTCATGTGTCAAAAACAACTAGTGCTTGCTGTAACAAAGTTTTACCGATACCGATAAGCCGGAAAATATTGCCGGTTTTAAAATTTGTACTTGGCTTAATGAAAAGCTAAAAAGACGCTTGCTAGCTAAATAGAAATACGATAGTAAATATTTTTAATGACCTACGAATAAACTCAATTTTAACATTTTTTATTAAATTGTAAATTTGTTCCCTCTATA